GGTGTGGCCTTTTGTGTGGTCGCAGTCTCCTTTCATTGTATAGAAGTTGTTTGACCTTGTTTTCGCAATTTGGCCATTTTGGTAGGAAGACTTAGAGGAACACACATAGTCCGGATTCCATTGCCTGCATGATCATTTGCAAAGTTGATCCGTGGACGTGGTACATTCCTAAATGTTTCGGCGGCATCTCCAGTGAGTATCGCCATTCTTAGCACCACATAACAACTCGTCAAAGAGAAAAGTGAAGCCGATCCTTTGACCAAACTTGTGCTAAACAATTGTGGTATCTCCCTACCAATATGACCATGTTGTGAAAACAAGGTCAAACTACCTCTATAGAACGAAAGGAGACTGCGACCACACAAAAGGCCACACCATCTTGGTTTTCATACCTTCGATCAAAATCTAAATATTTTCAACAATGCATTGCTGAATAAATCTGTTATTTCGATCTTTTTATTCGAGAACTACGTTTGCCGGCGTCTACTTTCACTCAAGACAGATATAGTTGACGTTTTGGCTCGTTATTAGACGAGATAATGAATGGCTTATATTGCTCAGTTCAGATTTAAAGAAAATTTGTCAGAACTCACGTATTGTTCGCAAAAAAGTAAAATGCTTTTATTCCAAGTAAGAGTAGGCTTCGAAACTACCAGTAGAGCTCTTATTGAATTCCTCAAAGTACTATTATTCTAAATGTGTAAACTGCCTTTTTGTCGGGTAACCAAGCGTGATACGAAAAGTGAAGGTAAAATAATAAATTAATAAATTAATTAAAAATAATACCTAGAGGTTTATCAACGTCGGAAAGTGGAGACAAATAAATTCTTTCCTATATTTCTAACACTACTACAATGTCACTAGTAGGCCATTTAAATTGAACTACAAAAAAATGGTTCAGCGACGAGTTAAGGCAAAATCGTATCGTGAAATTTTCTGTTCAACAATTGCCGTCTCTATGCAACCTCATAACGCACGGCAACAATGATATAGCAGGCAATATAAGGCAGTAACGAATGCGACATTTGCAAATGTCTGCGCGATATAATTTTCCCAAATGATGAAAGTTTATCGTTTAAATCATGAGAGAAAAGAGCCGAAAGAATCTTAACTGAGATTTGCTGACAATGTTCTCCACATATACAGAAGATACTGGCCTATTCATGAGTGGTACTTTGAATAACCTCCTTAGACGAGGGCTCGATGGAAGGCTGGAGTCTCTGGTGGGTACAGACCCACAATTGGGAGGAATGCCGGGATGCGGAATATTGTGAAGAAGCGCTTCCACACGACATGGGTCTGCAGAAGAGTCTCCAGAACCAACCTTCGGATCGAGCGGCACAGAGACAGTCGTCATGAAGGGCGAAGCGAGTACTGGATCAACAGGGACTAGCGATAGGCTGTAGGCCTGACGAAGGCCCAAGTCGGTTGAGAATGCGTGATCCGGAACGAAATGCAGACTGGTCAGATGGGGGATGTCACTTGTCTGACGTCGGTGGCCCAAAGTGCTCCGATGCAGTGGCTACGGGAGGTGAGGCCATGATGGGGGCAAAAAAATAAATGAAAATTTTTGAGATTGAATTACAATTTCCCATTACTACTGTCACGCAACCTAGTTATGACGCCATTGGACCACCAGCCCACTTTGCACACAGTTCGGTCAAATCGACATTGTGTGATACGAGGAGGTGGGATTGGTGAATAACCCAGGATAGAAGGAGAGAAAGCACCGTTGTTTTTTCAGACAACTCGTCAAAGCATCGGCTTCATCTGTCTCTTTGACGAGGTGTATGGTGGTGCTAAAAATGGCAAGGCTCGCTGATGATGCCGGCGAAATGTCTGGAAATGTACCACGTCCACGGCCCGACTATGAAAATTATCATACATACTATGGACTCCGGACGAGGTGGGTCCCTTAATATGACCAAGTTGCGAAAACAACTTCTATACAATGAAAGGAGACTGCGACCATACAAAAGGCCACACCATCTTGGCATTCATACCTTCCATTAAAAGCGATTTTCGTTTATCGACAAGACAAATGCTCTCTAAGGTCTCCGGTAAAAGTGAGCAAAGAATCGTACTGGAAAATGAA